ACACCGAGTAGGGAGATGGTGTGAAGTTATTGTGGCGTTACAATCACTCCCCTTGGCAAGCGTACGATTGAAGGGCATAACGGAAAAGACTTCATTGTGAAGTGTACTACATTGGGGTGCAAATCGGAAAATATCACCTAGGAAAGTCTGGGAGTCTTTGGAGAAACACGTTGGCGACATTGCGTCCCACTGCTGGGATGCGGCATGGGTAAAAAACCAATTTAAAAACGTTTCAAATTTTCAACAGCTACATATTGTACAGGAAGGCATTGTAGAATATACAGTAGCTGCAAAACAAGCAGTTGTGTCATTGGGAGTATTTTACGGAGGATACAAAGGAAAGTGATTTCCTTAGGAAAAAAGGTAATTTTTGGATAAATAGAACTGAAGCTCCACATGCAGATAGCTAACGTGATAAGGTAACTTTCAACAATAGCAGATCTGGATCGAATCCAATTTACCGCCTCTGGCGCCAAAAAATTCCTTTTTTGCGACCTCTTTCCCACGCTCCGCGTGTATGGGGCGGGAGTATTCCACGAAAATTAAGGGTTTGTCTTGAAAGTAAAAAAACAGCAAAGTTTTACTAGCTTCTGCATTGAATACTAGTCCTTCTTCAAGTGTTTTGGTGTGTAAACGCCCTAGCATTCATGCGCATTCCTCAAAAATAGGGAAAAATTGCTTCGTCCCACGCGGCAGACACGCGAAAAGGCGCCTTGTCGCCAATGTGTTAAGTGAGACTCTTTTGTCCTTATTAATCCTAGTCCTACGCGTGGATGAGCCAAGGTCCGGCACAGAAGGAGCCTTCGCTGAGTCGTTTCGCAACCATCGAGTTCTTCAGAAACTTTTGGGACACGACGTCGAATACTCTTGGGGCAGGCGTTTGGTTTCAATAAGAAATCGAAAGCTTCGCACCATTTCCAGGCCCCTGACGAAGACAGCAGGTCGAAATTTTGGGCCAATACAAAGTTTCATCTACGAAACCTTTTTTGAGAAACAAGTGCACGTTCGGCAGTAAAGAGTGTACACTCATAGAAAATGCTCACCTCAACCAGTGATACTTCCTGATTGGTCGGAGTAGTTCAGCAGTCAAAAATGCTTACCGGTATCGTTGGGGAGAATGTTCATCGGTAAGAACCTGGTGTATAAGTGCATCTTGCGTTGAATGACCACACCAGCTCTAAAAACGCAGAAGACTGAAACGTACAATCAGGAGATTACCATTATGAATTACCGTAGCGTATCCAATGAAGAACATTTGCTCATTGTTATACTTTTCCAGTCCTCTGATCCGCTTCTCTCTTCCGTGTTTCCTTCAGAAATTTCTTGTATGCCTGATATTCGCAAATCAGGAAAAAGCCTTGATGAAATGGCAAAAAACCGTCACACAACGATAGAAAGCTAACCTATCTATACTTCATAATGAACCCTTTGGTTTCCTTTTCTGAAAGTCATCTTTTCTCATCAATGATAATCGAAATAAAAAAGCACCAGGAAGAGGAGGTAGAATTGAGCATCGCTGGTTGGTGGCAAGAAGTTACCAACCACAGCACAAATAAATGGACATCTGATGGTACACGTTCTCACATTGCTGATCACAGCGCAACTGCTCGCACCGAGGAAACCCCATTAAAAGGTTACACCTTCCCAACACATCTGCATGGGAGTCGTTTGCACCGCCCATTGCAGAGGTGATAGCAATTGGCGCCAAATGAAATACTTGCTGATGCGCTTGGCAGAAATTTGTGTTTTGGAGACATGTCATGTCAAGTCTGGGAGGTGGTATTGCGTAGGGGGGTGACAATGATGTCACAGCAGAGTATTTGCAAGATAGCAGGCCTAGGAAAAAAATATAATCCCAGTAAGGAAGTTTTGGAGATGTACAGGATTGAGGTAGATTTTGTTCTACAAATGTCCTCCTAATAAGATCGTCGTAACTAATGAAAGCGAAGGACTCATAGATGACCCCGAAATACAGACAGGGGTCTCAGAGAGATAAGTTCATCAGAAAGGAAGGTTTTAAAGGCAGCGCCCACTCACCACGCTCACTTGATGTTCCTACGCCCTTTCTGGATATCATAGCCCTCCCCATAAGGATGCAGTATGTACTAGTTTTGCATCTCACAAAGGCGAGAGGATAGCGCCTATCGCTAGTAAAGAGTCGACCACCCCACCTGGCGACCACGACGCCCAACTTCATTTCTAATGGTTGCCTGATGGTGCGGTTGTTCCATTGCTGCGTCGTGTGGTGAGAGTGAGGTGATAAGGGGAAACAGCTGAAATCAACAAGTGAGAACTCGTGCAACCACTCCTTCTCTTCGCCTTAAGCACGTACAACCGCTATTCGGTATGAAACTCCTTATAGGGCATTTTGCATGTTTTCTTTTTGATTTTTCTTCACTAATAGGTTTCTACCTGCTATTACTACCTGAGCCGCATACTCATCAAATTTGAACGCGGGCGCTGCCTTTAAAGTATCTTAAAGTTAGGTAATAAGTGTCACCGTAGGGCTTCATAGCCCCACTTTAAAGTTTCCAGAAGCTCCACGATCCACGTTATATGTGACCAAGCCAAGGGTACTCGCGCGCTTGGCCGATTTGGACCGTAAACTAGCTTTCTCCAATAAGACAGCACAACGCATGCTCTAACTACAATTTTGGATGCCTGGCCGCGAACAATCAGTATTCGAGTGCTGATCCAGGCGTTATCTCTTTGTTTCTTTTGTAGCACCTTATTCCATCTTCTGAATCCTTATTTTTTAGGAATGATATCATTTCTTTGATATTCACATTTATACTTGATCACTCTCGCGTCTTTTCCCTTTGTTGTTCATTTTCGTGATCTTCCGTAATTTTTTCGATGCTTTTATTGTTCAACCGCTGGTAGATTGATGCAACATAAAGGCACCAGCACTTGAGTGCTTATGTGGTAGCAAATGAGCAATTAAGTGCTGGTGCCTTTATGTGGCACGAATTTACCAGTACGAAGCTGCTTATATGGTAGCAGGTGAACGGTTTTTACTGGCCAAAAACCGCCTTTCTTCTAACGGTTAAAGAGCTGGTCATTGGTAAGGATATAATAATCAGCAAAGGCTCGCAAGAGTCAGTGTGTCAGTGTTCGTTTCAAATCTGTACACATTACAACTACGTTATGATGACCACGGCTCACGTAGTGAAGGGTAAGGATAGGTGGTGAGGTTCACTGAATGAATGCGTTACGTGATAAAGAATATGTGAAGATTGCTTCAGTAAAGCTTCAGAGCCCTCATTCTTATTTCGCTACTGTTACCGTCGGAACCTTTTCGACCGCTAAATTTTCGTTTCACGAAAGGCAAGTGCCTTCGACAAGTGATATGCACAGTGCTTTAACGAGTCATCATTACAAAGTCAAACAAGAAGATTATTTTGATTTATCAATCCAGAAATTAGCATTAGGAGTGGGTACAGGTATCCCGTGAGTAAGCTCTCCAGTTTTTAATAAGATGAGTGCAGTAGTGCACGTCAGCATGTTTCCCTAATAATAACTAATAAGCTACTTAGGACTAACTCTGAATGCTAGCTTCAATCCTCCATTGTCAGCAATGTTGTCTCCTTGGGTGAGTTTACCATTCAGCTTCAGAGCAGTGCATGGCACCTGTGAAATTCCGCATTCTAAGGATGCCGTGTCTACAGCTTCGACGCTATAAATTTTACGAACCTCAATCCTCCCATATTGATCGATCATACACTGTACTCGTTCACCGAACTTTTGCGTAGTGTTCGCGTTCCACCAGTCGCGAAGGTTACCCAACGCGTCAAATTGCTTACCTAACACTCATTGGTATTAGTTGATATCAGACACGTACGAGGTGGCTAACTTTAGGTGTACGAAACTACTACATTGTTCTTGTTTTCCGAGTTTTGAGGAACACCGTCAAAAAGATTGCCATGAGTATGAAAAATGTAGGCTGTGAGGTGCGCATTCTCCGAGTAATCTGAAGTTATCGGTACACGCCATAAATTTTTGAGAAGTTTGAGATAGCAAGTCAGCGTTCTGAAGGCCGTTCGAACATAATATTGAAGGGTAAATGCAGCACCACCGGTCGCAGGTTGATTCCAAGTCGTTTTCGCGCTGAATTCGCGGCCAAATTCGAAGAAATCAATGACATAAATACTGGTCAATCGATTGCCGAAGAGCACGGAGTGTGCCAATGGGAAAGGTGCGGCAAAAAAAATCGCTGTTTAGTTTCGGAGAATCTTGAACGGTGGCAGCGAGATCCAATTCGCTATCCGATCTGAACGCTAATATGTTAGTGAATTCTATGTTAGTTTGATAGTTCGACGTTCACG